GAACGTGAGAACCACTGTTGTAGGGGAATGAATGAAGGATCGAACGCGAAAATATCGACTTTCAAACTGCTTACGAGTCAGCTTTTTCGCCATCAACTGCTAAAAGCGTACTGTAGTCAGCGCACGCCACTGTGCACCCACTCATCTCTAACGAACATCTCTTCGCGCCGCACATTATCAACGATCTCAAAATCTCACAAGCTTCTCGACTGAAATAAGACAAAAACATCGATTTCAGCTTCCATCTGCAATGCTATCGTGCAGTGATTAACCTGGTTGGTAACATCCATTCCGTATTTAGTTTTCGCTTCTATTCAGCTAAAAATTGTTTCAACCCATTTACAAGTGTAACGTCTAATGTAGAAATATGCAAGCTGAGTAGTGGCCAACCGAGAGGAGTGCAGTTTTCGAAATATAATCACAGAAGCAATCGTAATCAGTTTTTGGGTCACCAAAGTGAGTATATGACTGAAGCAATAGACACTCGAAGCTCAATATATTCAAACCAACTTTGATCGACTGAATCGAGCCGCAATATGTCTCGGCTTCTCACCGATGCCAGCGTTTGGATTCGCCCCCAAGACGAGTAGACCACGCACCATTTCAACATTCAGTCTCTGGATGAAAACCTACTGATTAGCGGTGGTTCCTAGCAACATTCGCCCTCCTCATTCTCCTCCACCCCGTCCACTCTCCCCCTCTCTCACCATGCGTTAGGGGAATTGGCGAAATTATATGATGAGACCGACCACTTCTCTGTAATCGACCAATTTGCGCTGCTTACAGATACGAGTCGAGCATCTTCATTACCATTACACTGATCAATAATTACTCATAAAGGTCATTTGTTGAGGTGATGTGTTCGAATCCGGTCTTTGCCTGTTAACAGTATGTTACCCCTTATATGCACATAAACAGAAATAATATGGCGCTCATGAGTATCGCCTAAACGTTGAATCAAAATAACTTCATCGATGCACAAACCGAAACAGCGATTGCAAGTGCGCTGTGTCCCTCGTTATCCAGCAGATCCAAATCCACGTCGTATGCGGCAATGGCGAACACCAGTTGAATGTCATCCTTATGCACGTAAACATGCAGCGGTGTTTGTCCGGCATTATTCCGCGCGTTCAGATCCAACTGTGCGCCTTTCAGTTCAAGCAGTGCTATTAACGGTGCTTTTTGCGTTGCCATATGCAAAACCGTATTATCGGTCATCGAGTCTCGTTCATACAACAGATCATCATCCGTTTTTGTGATTAGAGTTTGCATCAAACTGAAATCGCCAACTTCATCTGTATAGAAGTGCAAATGACCTAATTCAATTGCTCTATTGCTGATCTTGGCTGTCAACACTCGTCAACTTATCCAGTAAATTTACAGGATGAGAAATTAATTCGAACTGTGAAGTGGAATGAGACGAATTGAATGAGAAAAGCTCATCAAGAGAACGATATTCGCACGCATTAGCTATGAGAATGCTGCAATCAACTTCAATAGATTGTCTTTGATCAAAGAAGAAACAGTATAAGATTCTATCATTTTCCAAGAGTTGCAGGTGAATAAGTTCAAGCTGATAGAGTCTAATGGTTCATACAGTTGAGCTAGAGATCCACGAATGACACTGTATCATGACGTGAGTAACATGCCTAAAATCAGACAATCAACAATGCTCTGAAGTGGTGCTTCGTAAACAAATACAGATCACGAACGATGCATGGTTACTGTACGAGTTGAGAACCTCCAATAAAATCAGGAGTGCAATACGTACTCAAGTGTTTTAGTGCTGTCTTGCATCGCCTCGAAGAAGGGATTTATTCCGTTTGATCTGACGTTAACAGACGCACCGTAACCGAGCAAAGTGGACACGCATCTCGCATTCCCACTCTTTATTGCCAATAGTAACGGTGTGTAGCCATCGTTGTTGACCACATTCATTAACCTCTCAAAACTCGAATGAGCCTTCTCCCACAGTAACTTAAATGAAGATGCTCTAATTTCATGATGATAACTTCATGATAACACTTCATCCCGGCTTCACGAATCTTCTACCGTATCATAATGCACCAAAAGATGTCGCTAATTGCCTCAAAACTCTGTCGAAAATATTTGATCACAAAAATCGATCGTGCAGAAGCCAATTTTGGTCGTTTTAGATCTTTTTTTTGCTAGTTGTTACTGAATATTCAAGTTCGCATTACGTGCTAACAACTCCCAGACTTTTTATAGCACAACAAAGAACTTCGTTGGATCATTTTATTTCTTCCCGCTTCTATGATTTCGTACATTGTAAAATTTTGATCTGTATATTAGTGCAGTAATCGTAGATGTCTCGAAGGAATCAAAATATGAGCTAAACGCTCACTGTCAAATACAATATGATATTCAATTTTGTACAAACCTGTAATATAGCTTGTGAAGACTGTGCAGCGAAATGTACACAATTGTTTCCGTTTATATCACACAATGAAAGGCTCGCACCGTTTCTAGAAAGCAACTTTCAGATGGGTTCAGTTTGTTGGGAAACAAAATTTTGTGTGTGTTAAATTTCCGATTAACCATCATTTGCTGCTTGTCGGACCAACATCTTCTATTGTTCAAAAATTGAAGTTAGAGAACCTAACTGATCCTTGTAACATCATACGAATGCCTTGCAGCATCATTCTGTTGAGATGGAATCATTTAACGGAAAATGACGAAGTTGAAATGAGCGAAAATGAACCCGATCAGTGTGCTTATCAAATCAATTTGATTGTTTTGTATTGCAATCATCAATGGATACAATCCTTCTGGCTGACATTTCGTTGTGAGCATCCTGAATCAACACCCATACTCAGAAGTGTTTCTCTTTTCATCTTTCATTCGTTATCATCTATCGGTTGAGGTTCATATCCACCGGCACTATCCAAAGATTCAAGTCTAGCGTAAATTAGTTCAAAGCAATCTCTCAGGAAGAATCACTTTGAAAACACTGGCAATTCCGTGCGGTTCTGGATGTCATTCTTGAGCAATGTGGCTGATGTTAATTTATTTCGCCCATGACAACACTAACCTATTACGAGTCTTTTCATCAACATCACAAAAAATATTATTCAAACCAATTAAGGCGGCTATATGTTCTGATCGCCATAACATATGTTGACGAAAACTGTCCAAAAGTTTATGCACGAATTCGACTGCATCTTCTTTTTGTTCTCAAATAAATACTTCGTTATTGTTTTCACGCTTAGAAAAAAAAACGATGGGAATTTTCATTATTTTGCGACGTCACTTCTCAGTTTTCATTTATGGCGACATGAGTGCTAAATTCTTTAAATGATATATTAGATACGTGAATTTCATTCGAGATCAGTTCACTTTTGTAGAAGATGAAGTTATAAAACCAGTGTTCCTGGATTATATCTTCATTTAATTTTGATCTATGCGACAGAATTGTTCAAATTCACAATTATCACCACTATGAGTGGGATTGACTGTAATGTGGGTGATAGCCTTTAGTATCAGTGATATGAATACAAAGAAAATGACAAGTGATAAGGATTACTATCAATATAACGAAAAAGAATGCAGCAGTCGCGGCATCGTTGACATAATTCAAGCACGTCGTCTGCGTTCTCGGATCTGTACATCGTCAAATAATTCTTGTGAGCAGTGCCGTCAATGAATACGAACAGCAAATGACATAATACATCATCCTGTGCACTCAACGTGTCTCGCGAACTGCCGTACCGTTCGCATTTCATTTGCTCGATTGCGTTCTGTCCATTGATGGGACCTCGCCGCACTTCGAATGCTGATTCTACGTCTGAAAGCAGTCATGGTCATCGAACACTATCGACAGATCCTCGGAGTATTATATCACTCATTCAGATATACTTTTACCGGTGCACCTAGACAAGAATCCAAATCACCAACAACTTACTATCGGTTGGAAATATCCGATCATAATTGGGAAGTTTTCTTTCCGGGAATTTCACGATCTCGTTTGGATCGGCCGGTACCCATGACTCTTCGGCGTTATCTTTTTTACCGGAATTTGACCATAAGTCGAATAATGATTCAGGTATCAACGATGACAACACACTAAAAAATATTGAAACTTATATTTTTTACTACTCGGCAACTACCGAATGGAAAGACGCATCGTTTAAAAAATTGCTAAAGCAACTTTTCGTGCCATCCAAACGAAGTGCATAAATGCACTGATGAATATGACGGTACATTAAGTCATATAGATCTCAGAGGATATCTAATGAACGTCGCATATTTTGAGGAACTAACCTTCCAATGGAACTTTCACCTTCACGCTCTCTTGTCGATGCTGAAATCGCCGTTGAGGTTTTCGAAGAGGCAGCGTTAGATTCCACAATTGTGCTGCTTATTTGAATCGGACTCACGTAACTGCTTATGGTTGTGTAAGATTCAGTCGCGGTAGTGCTCGATGAGGTGGCGTTTGATTGCGAGTTTGTATTTATATTGGACATTTTATTCACGGCCACTTTGCGGTGATAACGATTGCGCATATAATTTAGTAATCGTTCAACTATTAGAAATGCACGAGAATAATCCTTGTACACGACCCAATACGAAATAATAAAGCAATCGACGTGGACCGAACCAAACAACCGACCACAATTACAATAATATAACAAATGGAGTCCAGTTCAAGGAATTGCCTAGTATTGACTTACGGACTAGGCTGAGTATTTATTTGCATGGATTATTTATTTACATATTTCAGTTATTTGCATATTTCATTTACATTTACATATTTTATTTGATTATTTACTTACATATTTACATCTACATTATTGATTTACATGCGAAACGCGAGCAGTATGGCCAGCAATGTTACAAACGTTTGATAGCCTGGCCAATGCAGGTAATCCAGGTGATTTATTTACATGATTATTTACATGTTTTTGCATATATGCTTAATTGTGAGGAGATTCATTGCTTGCAAAGAGTGTATTCCTCATTGTCAATAATGTCGCGAACTGCGTGAAAATGGCCGCAAAATTTTTCTGCTCGTTATCAGCTTGGACGAACTAGTTGTATAGTATTATTGCGCGAGTCGATGAATTATACAATGTGAAATTTATTGAAGTAATCAAAAAATGTCTTCATTTGCATTTCATTCCTATTTATGTCATGCTTAAATGCTAACTGATTTATCCAGATCGATTAAATTAATGCGAAAGTCTTCGATTCATTAACACAAGTAGTGCAATAATTATGCAAATGACGACTTTGAATCAAGATCTCGCTTCACATAATTTTGAATATATTGCGCAAAACTGAGGTCATTTATCAGTTGCTGTTATGGTTACATTGCTTTAGTTTGCGTTTTTGGTGTGTGGTTGGCGTCTTGAATTTGCCGGCGATATGATTTCTTTTATGGATGTTTGGGCGTTGTTTGTCGCATTTAGCAGTATTTTATTCGCCGTAACACTGGTCATTGCTTGTTGCGAGGGGAACCGTCCTGAAATGCTTCCGAAGGTTCGATTGCTTATTATAGGACGTTTTGAGCTGTGCTTTCAAAATGATTCTATGAAGTGGTACACTATGAAAATTCAATAGACATTTTCCTGACAGCAAAGGAAGTAGCATTGATTACAAACAGCATTCATCGCTCAAAAGTAAGACAATTCACAATGCATTCAGATTAAATTCATTTCTGATCACAACATGAAGTCCTATTCCTTCGATTTGAATTTGTTGCTTAGAAATAGTTTTGCAAAGGATCCAAAGAAAGGAATCAAGAAGCCGGATGAAGACACCACGAAATCAGGGACGATTACGGATCAGCCGACTTCGTTCAGATCATCAGTCATGGCCACAGATCAACTAACCACCTCTAGTCCGGTATCATGATTTATCTTCTTGTGGAAATTCAGTCATGCTAGATATCAATTTTTTCATTCATTTTAACAGTGTTTTCATTCTTTTCCTTGCTGCTACAATCACTCTCATAGCTTTTATCATCAAAAGTGTTCTCTTTTGCAAATTTCTTATTCATTT